CCCCCCCGGGGCAGGTGCCCTTGACAGAATTGAACCCAAGACCCTTCAGTCCCAGGGCTAACGCTTTAACCACTGAGCAAACCGGCTAGGGAGTAAACAGAGTCATTTGGTGGAGATACCCAGGCAATGAAGACAGGATAAGTGACCTCTGGAACTTCTCCATCTCTAAAATTTTAGAAATTTCTAAAATCTAGAAAATGTAAATCTGGAGTTTGGGAGAAAAGAAGCAGCTAAATATGAATAAAATTTGGACCTTTTCACATAAATATTAGTAAAGTTATGGAAGTAGATGGAATCATCAAAGGAGAAAGGAGAAAGAAGAGGTCCCAAGACAGAAACTTGGGGAAAAGTTGACAAGGGACACAGAAACAAATGGTCAGAGTGGTAAGGAGAACCAGGAGAGAGATGACAGAGAAGTTTAAGATGGAGGGGACAAAGCTAATTGCCAGTGGTTAAAGAGTATGTAGGTGGTAGCAATATTTAACAGTAAAGCAAATAAATTAGGGCAATGAGTTGAAAAAACAGCAGCAAAGGACTTTCTTTTTTGGAGCATAGGGAAAGAAACAAAATGTAATTAACCACTTTAAAGAGGAGATAGTGAAAGAATTAGTGTCAGAGATCATTAGATCAGGGAGACAGACGGGTTGGCTTTGGCAACTGTAAAGGAAGAGTGGGAGGAGAAATGTACAGAGATTGTGAAGTGGCTGAACACTTAAGTCACACTGAATGGCCTTGCCGGTCTATCTTTTGAGAACGTAAAGGATGATTAGGTGGATAGAAGATCTAGGAGAAATGGGCGGAGAAACAGCACTATAGCAAATAGCAATAATTCGCCCTGGCCGGGTAGCTCAGGTGGTTAGAGCACTGTCCCAATACACCAAGATTGGGGGTTTGATCCCCGGTCAGGGCACATACAAGAATCAACCAATGAATGTATAAGTAAGTGGAACTAATCAATCTCTCTCTCTCTCCTCTCAAATCAATCAATAAAAAAAGCAATAATTCAAAATAGCAAGAACGATCTACCTGAGATTACGTAAGTATGAGTTTGTGGTAGGTAGTCCCAACCAGTGTGGCTTTGGGACTTTGGTCAATAACTCCTGTCCGCCTTGAAGTGGAGAAAACAGCCAGCCAGAGTTAACTGGGGCAGGACGACTGGTAAAGAAAGGACAGAGGAGAGAGGACAGTGAGGAAATCTAGACTGGTTTGCTGGTCTGTGGAAGTAGCTGACCACCGCATCGGGCTCTCTAGGAAAGAAAGAGTAAGGTTAATCATTTGGGAGAACAGAAAGGAGCTACCAAATGGCCGTAAGACATAGGAAGCTCAGATTTGATGGGAGTGACTTGAGAGCAGCAGAAAAGCAGGAGGTTGCAGTGAGAGGCAAATTTCAATATGTATCTAGGAAGGTGGAGAAATTATAGGTTATCATGAGCTCTAGCCTAGGATAATTGTAATTGGTGGCAGATATGGCATGGCTATAAAAGCCAGTGATGTTGATGCAATCAAGTAAATGTGAAGTCACAAATGTTGAAGTCTCAGAGCATAATGATAGGGAAGCAGGTTAGAACAGGGTAACTGTGACCCATATATTGGGAATGAGTTGTAGGTCTCTAACACATATTTTAGTATGTAAGGCACCATACTTTGTGCCTTATGTTGTGTAGAAACAACTACAATATTAGGTAACATATGACACTTACCAAATAAATTGTATCTATAAGTGTTTAAAAGGTCATTTCTGGCTGAGCTGGTCGAGGAATGTTTCAGACAAGGTGGTACCTAAGCTGGGACTATGAGGATAAATAGAAGGTTGGAGATTGGCAGAGGGAGAGGGGAAAGGGAGCTAATTTAGAGGACCACACTATCTTTAAAAAAAAAAATTTTTTTTTAATGTATCTTTATTGATTTCAGAGAGAGGAAAGGAGAGGGAGAGAGAGAGAGAGAAACATCAGTGATGAGAGAGTCTGATTTCAGGCAGAAAAGTGGTATTGTTATGGTTGGGATTTAGAAAGATTTTACTGTGGTAGCCATGTGGAGATTGGACTGGAGAGGAAAACCAGCTGGATCTCTAGGATTGTGGGCATCTAGGCAAGACTAGGGAGGCCTGTTCAAGGGCACAGGCCAGACAAATGGAGAGGAACTGAAGACACAAATGATATTGTGGTGAATAAAGTTGAGGAGAGAACCAAGGATGGATCCCAGATTCCTGAGTGAGGGGTGGTGCCATTTGCAGAAAAGCATGGAGAAGAGCAGACTGGAGGAGGGAAAAGTAAGGCGAGAAGAGGACCTGAACTTTTTACATGTTTATTCTGTCTTTTGGTCTTTTCTCTTGCTTATGTCTGAATTTTTCAGGGCAGGATCTAAATCTTTTGAGTATGAGATTAGATAGCTGGAAATAACAATGTACAATTTGCCAGTGGGTTAAGTTACATTTTACAGAAAAATGGCGATTAAAAAAAAGTGAGACTGGAAAAATGACTGGGTTTAAAACACGTGCCATTAGCGCCCTCTGATGGTCAGACTAACAATACCAGGAAATCAACCAAGCTCTGGCCTCTCCTCTACAAATTTATGCTCTTAGGATTGGATTTAAGTGTAGTGGAGGGAAAGTAGCTAAGTGACCAGAATAATACAGTGTTTAAGAGGATTTTCAGAAAAATGAAATCATAACACATACAAATGAGGGAACTAGATGATGTTAAACTGGTTCAAAAGAGAATCTGAAGACACAGATGTAGGCATTTAAAACTGATGAATTTGCTGATAGATGTAAAGTTGGTCAACATTGATAGGGCATAAAACATATTGTTTAGAATTACCTTTTTCACAGGGTAGAAATCAATTATATCTCACTGGACAAAATTCATTCGTCTTTCTATGTATAAGAATCATCTGCATTGCCATTAGTTTTCTCAACTTACAAATTGTAAAATAGTTCTGAGGGAGGATAGTTAAGAAGCTAGGAAAATTCCTGGGCAAGTGGAATAGGGAAACTGGGACAAGATAATTAAACAAGGCCAAATAATTTGAACAA